AAAGATAATTTGACTTCCTTTCTTCCTACTTGAATAACTTTTATCTCTTACTCTTGCCTAATTGCCTAGCCAGAACTTCCAATGCTATGTTAAATAGGAGTGGTGAGAGAGGGCATCCATGTCTTGTGCCAGTTTTCAAGGGGAATGCTTCCGGTTTTTGCCCATTCAGTATGATATTGGCTGTGGGCTTTTCATATGTGGGTCTTCTTATTTTGAGGTATGTTCCTTCCATATCTAGTTTTTTGACAGTTTTTAACATGAAGGGATGTTGAATTTTATTAAAGGCCTTTACTGCATCTACTGAGATAATCATGTGGTTTTTGTCTTTAGTTCTGTTTATCCACTCTTATGGATTTGGACCCTTTCTTAATGTAAATGACTCAAATTTAAAATGTTTGAATATAGCAATAAATCAACAAAGGGGATTTTGGAATACTTTTACAAAATATTTGTGGAATTTACAAGTTCACTGGTAATTTTAAATTTTCCAGAATGTTTTATGAGATTTCGGAGCCATTCACGTAATAAGTTATAAAACTCAGAGACAAATCTAGACTTGATCTAAATGCTTGACAAAAGAAAACTAGAGCTCAAACTAATTTACTACTGAAAATATGAGCACAAATGGAACACAAGAATGGTTCAATAAGAGATAATTTGTTAACTTGCAATGTAGTAATATAATTCAACTCATCAGTAGATCAAACAAAATACTCTATTGTCTGTCACATGGATTTTTGAAATAATCATGAACAGAACGAAGCATTCATTCTTATTTAAAATAAATACATAAATAATTTATGTGTAAAAGAGCAGAAGGATATTCTCTTAATGTAGAGTCAGAACTAGTGTTATGTATACTTGAGAAATAAAATGTTTTCTTTTGTGATGGTGGTGGGGTTGATGTTACAAGTTTGCATACCATTATTATTGTTTAATATCGCTTAGAAAGTTTTGGCTAGGAGTTAGGAAGTTTTGATGGCGACAGTAAAATAGGAAATAAATGTATAAGAAATTGATTTCATATTAATGTATTTAATAAGGTGATATATATGTACACACACACACACACACATATATATCATATGATTACCATCATACCTTGGAGATATTGTGGATTCAGTTCCAGACTAATGCAATAAAGTGAATATTGCAATAATCAAGTGTCACAAAGTTTTTGGTTTCGTAGTACATATAAAAGATATGTTTACACTATATTATAGTCTATTAAGTGTGCAATAATCACATTATATTTAAAATATATATGCCTCAATTTAAAGATGTTTTTTTCCAAAAAAAAAAAAAAAAGCTAACACAAAGACACAAAGTGAGCACCCACTGTTGGAAAAATAGTGTTGATAGATCTATTTGCCACAGGGCTGATACAAACCTTCCATTCATGAAAACCACAAAATCTGTGAAATACAACAAAGCAAAGTACAATAAAACAAGGT